TATCCTATTCTCCATTATACCCAAACATCCTCCGCCATATTGAAACATCCTCCGCCATATCTGAGCATCCTCCACCATATCTGAGCAGCCTTGGCCATATTGGAACATCCTCCGCCATATCTGAGCAGCCTTCGCCATATCTGAGCAGCCTTCGCTATATTGAAGTATCCTACACTATATTGAAAGATAGAAGAGTCTAAGAGTTTAAGGAAAGAGAGGAGTTAGTAGGAGTGAGAGGGCTATAAGAAGTAGTAATAACTAATTAAATAGGGGAGATACTATAGTATTAAGTAGATAAAAAGGGCTAAGAATTTAGTAAGACTAGATGCGCTAGTAAGGCCTAGGTAAGATATTAGTTATCTTATATACTATAATATAGGCTATAGATATTAATAAAATCTAATATCTCCTATACTATAGTACAGGAGATGACTAATCAACTGTTTTCGCTTAATCCAACCCTTGTATTGTGTTTGGGACTAAGGAGGAGACCCTACCTACTATGGTATAGTATTATCTTCACTCCTCGCACATTCCAGATAAGAAAGATCAAATATGTCAAGATCTAGAGTTGATATTCTTCTAATTATTCTCGCATCACCGAATTCTCTTGGTATATTTACTGGTCTCCTATCTATACCGCTGTGACCATGTCATCTACCGAGCCCATTCTATACAACACGACCCTACAGATATTTGTCTGCCGGCAACATGGGTACGCCACTACAGATCTCGCGCAGCACCTCCGTCGAGAGCACCAGCTCCCTCTCGGCGAGCGAAACGCCATTATCCGGCGGTTTTCCAGCCAGGTATGTGCCCCTACGAGTTCTATTCCCCTGCCACCCCCATTCCAAGATCCTATTGAAGGGCTCGCTGCCCCAGTGCGTGCCTATTTATGTCAGCATGACGGCTGTGGATACATCAGTATTCACCTGGAGGGGATTTCCAACCACGCGAGGCGCGTCCACCAGTGGCGAAAGGCCGAGTCACGGCCCCAGTACTGGCGTCACATCTACGCCCAGACATTATTTGTCTCCCGTGGCCAGCGAAAATACTTTGCGGTGACCTCGCCAGTTGGGGCTGATGAAGGCCCCACACCAACCGATCCTCCTGTCGCCGCCGGGCTCAGTACTCAACAGGAAAGCGAGGTTCGGTCCATCAAGGAGGGCTGGGCACTCCTACGGGCGAGCCACCAAAGAGAGCTCGATATACTCGACGCCGACATCGCAAAACAGGACCGGACGGGCTGGTTCAACCGTACTCGTTGGCCTGAGCATTTTGCCAGTCGAAATCTCAAGCACCTCAGTGAGGCTACCCGACTCCCAAGAAAGGATGAACCAGTCCTGATAGGGATGATGGACATTATGGACGCACTTCAAGCACAGTGCTGTATGGGGCTCATGACCATGGACCTCGAGACGCGGCGCTGGCTCCGTAGTCCCAAACGAGAGGAGCCAGATGTCCGGCCAATGGGTCGACTCCAGAACCGCGATAGCGAGGACCGCTACTTCAACCTTTATCGACGGTTCCTCTGCTATATCATGCGTATCTGGTGCGCGGAGGTTGAGCTGGCTGGGACGGCCACTGGGGATGATGGCGCCCTGCCAGTCAATTTGAATATAAATATTCCCTCGTCGAGTCTTCCTGATGTTACGGATATTACTGGCCGACCTCGATCTCCTCCCCCTGATGGTGGGAACAGCCACTCGGATGACAGTGGCAGTGACTTTGATGACACTGAATCCAGCGCGAGTTCGAGCTCAGTTGGTGGTAGAGTCGAAGCTCTAGCGGCCCTCGTTCCTTCAGTCCCTACCACAGACGTCCTTCGCGATGCGCGTGAGCTATTTCCATGGGTGGACTCACAGCGTGAGGCCTGCCGAGACCTATACGACTACATCTTGACACCTCAGTGGCTATTGCCGGTCGGGGTGAAAAAGGTCCTTCGAATATTTAACCTCTTCATCTTCCATCGTTTTGGGGGGGAGCCGTACAAGAGCGGGCTGGTCCATTTCTGTGCTGTCCTTGGGATCGACG